TATCCCCTGAAGTAGCATGATGAATATGTGCATGATTCTGCTTCTTTAAATCGGGTAACAACCCTCTTTTTCGCAAAGCCTTCAAGTAAACTTCTTGAACTGCTGGAAGGCGGCTTCCTTTTGGATAGAATGACCCTTTTCCATCCTTCAGGCCCCTAGTCCACGTCCCCACATAGCAGCTTCCATCACTCCACATGTATACCCCGAACCCATGCATCATGCCACCCAACCAGTTTCCTTCAAATGAGTCACCATTTATCCAAGTAAGGGTTCCTTTCCCTGACATCGTCCCTGCTTTCATATTCCCCAAATAAACATTTCCATTAGCCCATGTATACTTACCGGGCCCTTCAGGTGTTCCCTGCATCCAAGATCCTTCAAAAGTATCCCCATTTGGATAGACTTGATAACCTAAACCATGTTTCAAATTCAATTTCCATCGTCCCTTATAAATCAAATTATCAGGACCTTTGTATGTTCCTGTACCATAAATAAAACCACCAGAAAATTCACCCTCGTAAACTGCTCCAGAAGGAAATCGAAGTTTTCCAGTCCCATGCCTCCTCCCTCTTCTCCACTCACCCTCATATATGCATCCATCTGACCAGACATATTTCCCCGCGCCCTCAGGGATGTTATCAAGAAGAGACCCAGAATACAACTCATCATTGACAAGCAATAGCTCCGCAACTCTGAAGCAAGCAGACTCAGAGCTAAGAACAGTTTCACCATTTGTTAACGCAGATGTGACGCATTTGCTTGAAATGGCATCGAGTGATTTCGTTCTTCCGGCAGAAGAAAGTGTCCCTTCCACGTTTTCAACGATGGCCTCAGGGCCAGACATGCACAATGCCCAAAGGAGTCAATTTCTTAATAAAATATTAATTTCCAACGCACCCCATCCGCTATAAGACAGACAGGATATCGTACAAAGAATGTTTATTGCAGGAAGAAAATTGTTGGCTCCAACTTTCGTCCTTTGATCTGCAGAAACAAGAAACTTGTTAGCATGAATACAAAACAAAGTCTACCGAGAGAATAATACGAGTTTAGGGGGCATGATGAAATCAGTTATTATTCCCTGTGGATAAAATCAAAATACGAACAGAAACAGAGCATACGAGAGCAATTTTATTTATTCGCTAGTTTTCACGACTGATTTGAGAACGGTAGTATTCATAGTTGGTAAGGAAGGCAATTGGTGTATGATGGTAGGATTGAACACTCCATAACCTACTAAAAAAAGTTGGATCTGGCACCATCTTCAAAGCTGATATTTCATAAAAAGCAACACACACAATCACAATCAAGCTTGTTCTCTTTCTGTAGAGCTGATAAAACCAGATAGGCAAAATCAAACCACGGAGATAAGTCGTGGAAGTAAGCCAGACGCGAGAGGAAACAAAATCAAGCGGCAAAGGAAGACCAATGCCGTAATGTTAGAATCAGTTTCTGGAGTGACCAAGCAGGTGTTGGAAACTAATGAGCACAAGACAACATCTAAATTCAATGCTGATCCTCAGAAAACCAACATCGGAAGGAAATGAATCGAACTCTTGAGTTCACCATTACATGATCGAGTTTCCAAACATCATGCATAGACAGTAGCAGAAAAAACAGAAAAATACATAAAAAGAAACAAAGCAAGTGGAGTGTAAGGATTTCATGTGCATCCAAACAAATATACAGTCATACTCAGAATCAAAGCAAGAATAAATGAACAGAGAGAGAGAGAGAGAGAGATTATACCTCCGGAGAAGAGAATCAAAACAGAGTGGGAGGATCTGAGAAGAGGAGTAAGGTAGGTGCGGTTGGAAGTGGAAAAACACCTTCAGAACTCCTCAGACTCGCTTTCAGATCGATCTTTTTCAGTTGGAGAGTGACGATTATGGATCAAAATTCTGCGAGCTGATCACTTTTGAACTGACCCAGCACTCTATCTTAATCTTTAGCCAGACATTGCCTCCATTAAAAAAAAACAATTATTTCAAACCCAATTTCCTCCCAATTTCGTTCGCATCTCTCCGCCGAATCTTCACACATTTTTGCCCCCTTTTTTTAACCTTTTCCGAAAACAAAAAATTCCTAATCTCAAGAGATTTTAGCCTTTTTTCTTTTTTTTTTCTTTTTTAATTGTTAATTTACCGATTTAGTCAATTTCATAAATGTTTTTAAACTTTTAATTTCTTATCTTTTAGATATTTAATATAATTAATATTTTTAAATAGTATGATCTTAATTAACATATTTTCTATAATTTAAATTTTTTTAATTAGATATCTATAATTGGATCAGATCTTTTAAATTGATATTAATTCGGATTAAATTAAAATTATTTATTCACAAATTGTATCATATATTTAATATGGTTACAATAACTATGTGACCAAATTGTATTTAAAAAGCTTAAAAATAATTTTATAGGGATTAAATTAAAATGTATAAAATGGTATCCCATAATGGTAATTTTCCTTTCTGCTTTATGCTTTATTAGAACCTTTTCCCATTCTGTCAGTTTCTCCATTTAAGTAATATTAATTATTTGAAGAAAAGAAAAATAATAATAAATGGATGATAATAAGTTGATAAGCTCGTGCTCTTTTTTTTGTCATATCTAAATACATCACGTGTTGTATGTCTCTATGCTTATTATTTAAATTTTCTAAAATTTCTAATTAGTCAATTAAATTTACAAATAATTTATTTGAAGTTAGATGGGAGACATTATAATTTAAAATTTATCGTATGATAATACAATTAAATTAACATAAGATTTCATTAATTTAATTAATTTAATTTAAAATTATTTAACCAAAGGTGATGTTTATTGGTAAGAATTAATTGGGCTGCATCAAGTGTGTGGGTTTTTGTGTGTATTGAGTGGGTGCGTGAAGAAACAGTGATGGGGTGCGGAAAGAACCCAAAAGCCCGTGGCAGTTCCAACGGCCCAATAACACCTTTTTTACCGTCCCAATAATATTCATAAATTTAATTTTTAAAATAAATAATACAAATTATATAATTATTAAACATGACCTCAAACATAAAATCGAAAAAATGGAAAAATAATAAAAGTTTGTCTTGTAACCAGCGCCAGCGAGGATGTGGACCCTAAAGGTAGGTGGATTGTAAGATCTCATATTGATTGAAAAGAAGAATGAGTGTCAGCGAGGACGTTGGACCTCAAAGGGGATGAATTGTAAGATCCTACCTCCGTTGAAGATGAGAACCAAATATTTTTTTATAAGGGTGTAGAAACCTCTCCCTAGACATATTTTAAAAGGAAGCACGAAAAAGACATTATCTATTAGTGGTAGGTTTGGACTGTTACAACTCCTGTATATTTCATAAAATTACAATATCTAACACACTATTAAAAAAAAATTAAATTAAAGGAAGGATGACCAACATTTTTTAATACAACAAAGAATAATGAAGAAGATTCGAACATTTGATCTCGAATAAAAAATATATATAAATTATAATCGAGTTATACTTAATATACTAACTACGTTAAATTCTAAAAAGGCGACTAGTTAGTTTGAATATTCAAATGATTCTAAACTTATGTAACGATGTAGTATGGTTATCAATGAGTTAGGTTGAATAGCAACTCGCTATTAATTTGTTTCAATTAATCACGTAGAAATATCTAATATGTTTATAAGCAACCATGTATAAGTCTTTATTTGGTCCCTGACCACTCCGACAATAAAAGCAAAATAATAACGATTAATTTGAATATTTAAATATCAAATTCACGCTATTAAAATATTATTTTTACTCTCTAGTTTGAAAAAAAAAATTGAAAAAAAAAAAAAAAAACCAAAATAGTGGTTTTGCCAAATTCCAATGAAATTCCAGTTAGATTAGTGGTAACGACCAACATAATTTTTTTTTTTTTAATACATGAAGTATAATAAATAAAATCTTGTTTTTTTTTTAAGAAATATTTTATTTTATCTAATTTTCTAATCGTAAATCACCAAATAAGACCATTTTTACCAAACTTTAGCTGTATCTCACTTTTCTTAAATAAGATTATGAAATTTTCATGATTTGAATGTGACGGACCGTCTATAAAAAGAATATCTATATTTTACCAATATAATTAGACTTTTCTACAAAAAAAAATTTCTTTCAACATTTAAAGCATAAGACCACTTATTTATTTATTTTAGTCATTAATAAAATTTCATAAAATTTGGATATTTAAATAAAAATAAGTATGGGAAGGCGTCCATTAATTGTTATCATAGGTCTTTGAAGAACCCATGGTACTGCATAATTTAATTTGACTAATCAAACTTCATTTAAACTGATAAATACGAAATATATATTAATATTATTTTCTTAAGACCAAATACCTTGAACGGGCATTTTGGTCAAATAATGGACGCCTATTTTCCTACCCTTCAATTATTCATTACAAGACTCTTCCAATTTCATTCAATCCATAAACGAGATATGCGGCCTAAATTACAAAATTCCACATATACCCTTCATCTTCTTCTAGAATACCTTGTTATTTCCATATCTTATATGTTTATCATTTTTCTTTATTTATTTAATTCCACGTCATTTATTTTTTTTCTTTGAATTCAACAATTATAAATGTTATATTATTTATTAATATATTTTTAAAACGATTAAAAACATAATGAAATTATTAGCCCCCTAAGTACTAAACTAATACTACTAAGAAACATTGATTAAATTTTTGTTATTTTATGTAACGTTTAAAAGTCAATGTAGAAGCTATGGATATTAATACAATTTTTTTTATTATTAGAAATTTTTATACAATCTCTTGAATTTATGGAGGGTTTGATTAGTCTTTGTTTTCGTATAAATTAAATTTCTTAATTCGCAAATATTACGTGTCAATTCCTTAGTGGTCTGTGAGATTAGTTTCCTTCACGGCAATCTCACCTCCAATCTGGCTGAGCTTCATACCTTTGGCTATAAATAGCGTATGGTGGATCTCTCCTTTCATTCATATTACTCGTCAGTTTACAAATTGAAGGTGTCGGAAATGGCGAGCCAAGCAGTCCTTGTTGCAACGTTCTTGTTCTTCGTCCTCCGTTTTGGTACGATATTGTTTCTTTCTCGAGATGTTAGTAATAATAATGTTTAGTTCGTTTGATCACGTCATTATATTATTTCAGGGGCGGAAGCTGCTACGATAACGGTGAGGAACAATTGTCCGAGAACCATATGGCCAGCAACATTAACAAGCGGTCCAGGACAACCTCAACTATCAACAACTGGATTCGAATTAGCTCCCGGAGCGTCAAGGTCGTTTAACGTCCCAGCGCCATGGACCGGTCGAGTATGGGCAAGAACCCGATGCTCCAACAACGGTGGACGTTTCACTTGCTTGACAGGAGATTGCGGTCGTGGGCTCTCATGCAATGGCGCAGGAGGAGTCCCACCAGCGACGTTAGCTGAATTCACGGTCGCCCCGAACGGCGGGCAAGATTTCTATGATGTCAGCCTCGTCGATGGCTTCAACATTCCAACCACCATCGTGGCCCAAGGCGGGACAGGGCCATGCAGATCCTCCAACTGCCGTAATGACGTGAATAGGGTATGTCCAGGGGAATTGCAAGTGAGATCGGGCAACGAAGTGATTGGTTGCAAGAGTGCTTGCTTTGCATTCAACCAGCCTCAGTATTGCTGCACCGGAGCGTTCAATGACCCTAACAAGTGCAGGCCAACAAACTACTCAATGATTTTCGAGAACCAATGCCCGGATGCTTATAGCTACGCATATGATGATAAGAACAGCACTTTCACTTGCAACAACAGGCCAAATTATGTCATCACATTCTGCGGTTGAGAACAATAACTACAAATAATTAAGAATAAAGATATAACACCGTACAGTGTTATATGAACAAACTTGACAAAGTCTTATCTTATGTCAAGTCCATATTTCTGCATTAAATATTAATAAAGAAAGAAAATAAAATCCAACTTCCAATTTATTCTTCTCTCTCAATATTGCTTGAATTGGAAATATATAATAAAAAAAATTGTTTTATTAAAAAAAGCTTGAATTAAAATTTTTAATAAATAAATAAATAATTATTGAATTATTTTTCAGTAGCTCGGACCATATTTAAGCTAAAATTATGTAGTAATTTCCATAAAGTTACATAAGATTATTAATTATTTATTTATATGTATTTATAGAATTAGAAAAAGGTGCAATTATGAAATTCACGTAGGATTGAAATTGAGTATAAATATTATTCCGTGGAGTGATGGGAAAAAAAATCAGTTATTTTCGTTAAATTTGGACTGCCCACCGTGTTGGAGTGATTTCAGAGAGTTTGGGAATAATTAAAAATGGCCCATTCTTATGCGAATTGGTAATTCGTCGCTGCCCCATTCTATTCGCTCGTTCCGATCCACTTCCAAACAATCCGCTTCTTCTTCTTCTTCTTCATCTAGGGCTTCTTCTTCACATCAATAATTCAATTCTCAAAGCGTATCTCGAATTCTTGACAATGGCGAAGAAGAGGGAGACGTCTCAGAGGAAGAAGGGCAAAAGACAACCGCCACTGATTGATAATATACCCAAGTACTCTCAACAGCGCCGAAGCTCACCGCCTAAACGCCGCACTGATTTCTCCTCTCTCTTTTGCTATTCTTCTTCAATCGCTCACCGAGGTATCTTTTAATTTTGTACCTTTTTGTTTCGGGAACTGTCTGAACTAACCTAGCTTTTTGATTAATTTTGGAATTTGTTTGTGTACTGGATTTTATGACTCTCACTGTCATTGTATCGCCTCGGATCTCTCTAGCACAATGTTTGATATTTTCTTGTTTTTGTCTTCTTGATTTTCATCACATTATTATCTTTGATTTCCGGATATTGCTAGACATTATTTCTACGATCCTGTATTGGCATCTAGTTCTTGGAGAGAAAAATTGTGTTTAGACTGATTCACGAAATTGGCCCTATTTTCAGTTATAATACTCTCCGTTACCTGTTAACTAGTTCTTTTCATTCACACACGGACAATAATTTACATCCATTATTCTGGCAACAGTTGAAAATGGAGGGCAGGAGTTCTTTGTGGTTATCGTGTTCCATGTTGTGTATCTTGGGGAGTTCGAATCTGAAACAATATAAATGGTCAAATTAGTGTTCTGAATTTTATTTGTTTGCACTCAGCACTGTCCTTAATGATTTAGTGTCAGATGAACCCTACCCCAGCCAGAAATTTCCCTTGACCATGAGTATGTGATGTGTTGCCCTCTTTGAGGTGGTCTCTCTTAGTTGGGTATTCGTAGTGTAGTTGGCTTTTAGATGAAATTCGTGGCCCCTAGTGAGAGGAATGTGTCAATGGATGATATAAGTGTGATTTAATGTTTGTTCCTATGATGGAAATTTTAATGATACAAGAGCCAGATGCATCTATATGTATCATCCAATATAAGAATTAGGCTATTATTAACTACTTCTTGTTCTTATATGGATATTTGTTACATCAGAAATATCTGGCTCGAGATATCCTGTATAGCGATTAGCAGTTCCACAAGTTTTGTTTTTCATTTCCTTTTGTGGACCTTTTCCTTTTGAAGTGCACTTGTTTCTGTTTTCTATAGTATTTTGCAAAGGGAAAAGTCTCGATGTTATATTTGGATTATATGTTATATGATTGAAACTGAACCTGAAGTCTTTTGGACATGTTAGGCACAGCTGCCTTGCCACAATTCTCCTTGAATCACTCAGATAATACAAATGAAGAACTCTCTTCGAGCTCTTTGGTCAAATGCAGCAACTCCTCTGGGGAAGATGATGAACTTAGCCAATGCTCAAGTCCTGATGATATCCAATCAGTTGAATGCCGCCTCAGTGAAAGGTCTGCTTGTTATGTTAAACTGTTGTTAAAAAATAAGCTATCAAATTTCTTTTCTTTATTCATATTAGTGAGTATTTTGATTATCCTTTTTCAGTTCATGCAAGGCTTTAAGCAAGAGAAAATGTACTTCTAAGATATCATACCCTGTTCGTAAAAAATTACCAGATTCAGAAAGCAACAGTCTTTCTGAAACTCCAGAGAATGTACAGTTGTGGTCTACTGAAGTAAGTAATGTGCTATTCTTTATCATTAAATTCAAAAAAATTGCCTGTATTATGATTTTCATTTAGAAGTATCCAGCCTTTCTACTCTTCCTTCTAATATCTATGCTTAAACCTCTGTGCATGACATTTACCTTCCTTCAGAGTTTTGAGGAGAGGAGTTCAAACACAACGGCAGAGTTTCAAGATCAATCATGTGGTATGCGCTTGATTTGCATATCAATATCTGCCATTTTGTTTTGAAGTTATCTTGGCCATACTATTCCTGCCAAAAATACCATGCTTGGTGAAATAGAAAAAGATTTTGCTTTTTACCATTAAGCTGAGAAACGTGTACAGCATCTTCCATTTTTTCAATACATAATGACCATTAAGTATGCATGTTTTAAGTATGCATGTTTGAAAGATCAATGTCTTCCAGCGTAACGGCCCAAGTCCAGGGAAAGCTCAAAGAGGACAATATCTACTAGCGGTGGGCTTGGGCCGTTACACCTAGATTCCATGCATTCATTCTGTTGCAACATGTTGTTCCCTTGGGTTTTTCTTACGAGATATCAGATATGATGAAATTCTTTGTCTTCTTTAAGCAGATAAAGGGTCTTCATCAAACTCGAGCAGAATTGAAGACAATGACCTACACGTCGACAGAGGACGAGGAAAAAGGGAAAGAAAGCCAAAAGTTCCCTTCGATGTAAGTTGGAGTTTCAAAATTTATTACAAGGCATGGAAAACGCAGAAAAGAACAGTTCTATATTATGTTATGATAAAACAATATTCTTCGCTCTGTAGGAAGAGACGACCATTTCTGTTAAAGCAACAAGAAAATTTCGTCGAATGAGGATAATGCGGTACCTTGGGCTTGCGGCTCCAGTTGGCTCTCCTTTTTCACCAATTGCCTGAGCCATTATCATCCAATCCGGCTTCCTAGTAAAGTTTTCAATCTGCAGTGTTCAGTTTATCTGTCAACTCATTTTGCATTAGTAAAATGTTCCTAATTTTGTTCTCAGCATATATTGCTTCATCATTTGTAAATAGGCTGAGGTTTTGATGACATTAATTAGAATCCTTTTTTATTATTATTATCCGTCTTCATTAACTTAAAGAAGTTTGTCCACCTTTAATTCCCTCGTCCCAATACTGCATGGCATGTTCCTTGAACTTTAATGTAAATCAGAGTGCGGAAGTTGAGATTTTGATGGTCTAGAATCTGTGGATGGACATCTCTCTCCATCCGTGGGCTCATTTGAAGATGGGGACAACATCCAGGAATTGCCTATCAGTTTGATAAATTATGAGTACCTTAAAGAAATCTTTGCACACTTATTGTGTATGTTTGGTTCACCACTTGGAAATAATCATTTTGTTACCTGAGAGTTTGTAGCAGAGGTTTATGAATTAGAAGGATTAGAAAACGAGTAGGGTATGATAAACAAAGCTATTACTATTTTATACATTTAGTTTGTATCTCATACAATACAAGTCAAACCTTACGAGCTGAAGGGTTTGAAACGCCTTAGTTTCAGAGCTATATAAGCAGATATATAAATTATGGCCAATACTAGGTATATAAGCAGTGATTTCAAATCTTGAGGTTATGCATACTCTGGCAACATTATGTAGTGTAGAGTTCGGTTGTTCGGGGTGATAATGGAAAAGTTGACAGATAAGTTACCCTTACAACCACTCGATAGAACCGTATATGAGATTTTCACATCATACGGCTCCTTGTTCTATTCTTTCGAAGTCATTGGATCCTTTTCCTCGTTTGAAGTGATTGGCACGAATTCAGTCACATTTTCATTAATTTGGAATTTGGGCTCAGGTAGAATTGGCCCATTAATCCTAAACAACGAGAGAATGGAGTCATTTTGAGTATTATTCAGAATCCACAAAATCAGAAGGTTGAAATGTAGGAGAGAAGCTTCTAGAAGATTGTTCCACGTGTTTCTCGTTGGCTTCAAATTAAGGAAAAGAAAAAATAAAATATATCGGACTGATCGCACTCTTGCAAATCAAGTTAATTTTGTTTTATTTGTTAGGTTTCTTTTAAAGAAAATAATATTGTTTATTTACCTCGTTGTATTATGTAGCTTTCAAAAATTGACCGGACCGATCATCTTTTTAACAATAGTGATTGAGCTTACCCGAATCCCAATCAGAGCACCATATTTGGCCTCATCGTTCTGCAGAACCTTCAATTCAGTTTACATGGCTACCCCTCACTTCCTTTTGTTCCCATTCATGGCACAAGGCCATATGATCCCCATGGTTGACCTCGCCAAGCTTCTCGCCCACCGTGGCGCCATTGTCACCATCGTCCTCACACCCAACAACGCCGCCCGCAACCACTCTGTTCTTTCTCGCGCCATCGATTCCGGCTTGCAGATCCGTGTCGTCCAGCTGGAGTTTCCATGGAAGGAAGGTGGTCTCCCAGAAGGGTGCGACAATGTCGACTTGCTTCCTTCGCTTACCTCCATGTCCACTTTCTTCAAAGCCGCCAGTCTCCTTTACGACCCTTCCGAAAAATTGTTCCTCCAACTCCATCCCCGTCCCGCTTCCATAATCTCCGATATGAATCTTCCCTGGACCCTCCAACTTGCTCAAAAATTTCATGTCCCGAGACTCGTTTTCTATAGTTATAGTGCCTACTTTCTCCACTGTTTGCAGGGCTTAATGACCCACCGTGATCCTGTCGAGTTTCACAAGTCGGAGTTACCTAGAGCCACCGACGCAGACCTGGCCAAGTTTGGGGTTGAAATGATGCTGGCCGATGCGCAATCTTACGGCGTTGTTTTTAATTCTTTCGAGGAGATGGAGCCTAAGTATGTAGCCGAGTGTAGAAAGACAAGAGAATCGCCAGAAAAGGTGTGGTGCGTCGGCCCTGTTTCCCTTTGCAACAACGACAAACTCGACAAAGCAGAAAGAGGCAACAAAGCCTCAATCGACCAACACCAATGCATCGAATGGCTCGACGGGCAGCAACCAACATCCGTGGTCTATGTCTCTCTGGGAAGCATCTGCAATTTGGTGACGGCCCAACTCATAGAGCTGGGATTGGGATTGGAGGCGTCGAACAAGCCATTTATTTGGGTCATAAGGAAGGCAAACCTTACCGAAGAGCTACTGAAATGGCTGGAGGAGTATGATTTGGAGGGGAAAACCAAAGGGAGAAGCCTCGTGATTCGTGGATGGGCTCCTCAAGTTCTCATACTCTCCCACCCTTCAATTGGGTGCTTTCTGACGCACTGCGGTTGGAATTCGAGCATCGAAGGGATTTCGGCGGGCGTGCCGATGATCACGTGGCCGCTGTTTGCGGACCAAGTGTTCAATTATAAGCTAATCGTAGAGGTTCTGAAGGTGGGTGTGGGTATGGGGGTGGAGACAGTTATGCACTGGGGGGAGGAGGAGGAGATAGGGGTGGTTGTGAAGAGAGAGAAAGTGAGAGAAGCCATAGAAATGGTGTTTGATGGAGAGGACAGAGAGGAGATGAGGCAGAGATCCAAGAAGCTTGCAGTAATGGCGAAGAGAGCTGTAGAAGAAGGGGGGTCGTCTCACAGGGACATCAAGCTGCTGATTGAAGATACTGTTGCTCATGGAGGAGACCATGAGATTTGAAGCTGTCGATGATTAATTGATCTAATTGTGATTATGAATTTTGGTTTCCTGGCAAACCAGTGGTCATTGTTGAGGCATGAATGGGCCATTTCTTGCGTAATCAAATAAAGCTTTTCATTTTGTGACCTGAGATTTAGTTTGTATATCGGACCATACAAGTCAAACCTTACGCGCTGAAGGGTTTGAAATGCCTTAGTTTCATATCTATATATTCATAGAATCAACTTACTTGTAACCACCTGCTTTTTTTTTTTAGAAATTCGAGCTATAGACCGTTGTTCATGCCTTTTGAAATTTGATTAAATTAGTAATGAAAATTTTAAGACTCTCTATAGCCAACAGCCCACGCATACGTCTCCGCCTCGACCGCTACGTCAAACTCCACCGAAAAAAAAAGTTGAAGTAGCAGAAATGAGTGTATAAAATATACTTCGTAAGTAACTTGGTAGTAGTTCATATTTCGTTATTCAGTCTTTATTAATCTTGTTCATACGTTCAGTATCTTATTCTCTTTTGAGGATTCGTTCCCTCGTATGGGCGCTTCCTAGGCTACACCTTAGGTTCTCTCATTATACTCCTCTCTTGGTGCCTGGTTAGCCATTTCCGCTAGTCTCTCATCATGATCATCATATCTCAGAGTCATCGAGGTGCGACCTCGGTATAACTCATAAAGTTCATGCATGTCAAGGCTCGACCAACTCTAAGGTGCAACCGTGGACCCCTGTCGCTCGTGGCAAGTTCACCAAAAGAAAGCTAACTGGCAAACTTCCTAATAGTCCTCACAGCGCGCAAATCATAAAATCATATGGTAGTTCTATGATTATCCGGACCCCCGACAATCGAATCAGGTTTACGATAAGGGGCTAGTTGGCGAACTCCTACCGTCCCCCACCGCATAACTCACATGCATGAACAATAATCATGACCAACTCTAAAGGTACAACTATGAACCTTTGTCGCTCGTGACCGACTCATTACAGGAGCTAACGGGCAAACTTCACAGTAGTCCCCACATGGTACAACCATAAATCATAAAATATCATAAGCTAGTTTTATGGTTATCCAAACTCCTGACAATCGAGTCAGGTTCACGACTAAAGGTTAGTTGGCGAACCCCTAATCATCCCCGTGTAACCACATACATAGTAAACATATGACATAGAGACATAACATGGCGATCTAAACATGGATACCTAGTCATGAATTTCACTTCATAAGATAGCGCGTACAGTAAACATACCTAATCACATTCTACACGTGTCATCTCAACTCATTCTATGCTCAAACATACTTCTCATTCTCATATTATACTTTCATATATACTATGAGCATAGCTAAATCTAAGGTTTGGGGAATGCCATTTGTTCAGGTAGAAGCCCCAAAATTTGTGAAACTCTGTTCTTGGTGGCGCCACAGAACTGGGCGAGGCTGAAAGAGAAGAGTTGAGACAGAGATCCAAATAGCATGCTCTTGCTGAAATAACATTATATTATACTCTCTCTAGAATTCATTTAATTATTCAAAATCCGTGAAATGTAGGAGAGAAGCTTCTAAGAACATCGTTCCACGTGTTTTTCGATGGCCTCAAAAATCGGTACCATCTTCCACGATCCATAGGACTAGAAGGAAAAAAAACTAAGAAAATAATATTTGTTTATATACCTCGTGTATAACGTTGAATGTAGAATAGATCATATTGATATGATTTCATGGAATCATGGTTGTACCAAACTAACAATATATATGCACCTCTTTCAAAGCATTGACAAGAATGGACCGAATCCCAATAAACACGAAGTGGGGGATGATGCCCTTTGTTACTACAAAACCCAAATCAGAGCACAATAATTTGGCCTCATCGCTCTGCAGAACCTTCAATTCAGTTCACATGGCTACCCCTCACTTCCTTTTGTTCCCATTCATGGCACAAGGCCATATGATCCCCATGGTTGACCTCGCCAAGCTTCTCGCCCACCGTGGCGCCATTGTCACCATCGTCCTCACACCCAACAACGCCGCCCGCAACCACTCTGTTCTTTCTCGCGCCATCGATTCCGGCTTGCAGATCCGTGTCGTCCAACTGGAGTTTCCATGGAAGGAAGGTGGGCTCCCAGAAGGGTGCGACAATGTCGACTTGCTTCCTTCGCTTACCTCCATGTCCACTTTCTTCAAAGCCGCCAGTCTCCTTTACGACCCCTCCGAAAAATTGTTCCTCCAACTCAATCCTCGTCCCACTTCCATAATCTCCGATTCCAATCTTCCCTGGACCATCCAACTTTCTCAAAAGTTTCATGTCCCAAGACTCGTTTTCTATACTTTGAGTGCCTACTTTCTCCTCTGTTTGCAGTGCTTAATGACCGACTCTGCTCTTGCAAGCTCTGACTCTGACTCCGTAATTTTCTCAGCCTTGCCTGATCCTGTCCAGTTTCACAAGTCGGAGTTACCTACAACCACCGACGTAGACATGGCCAAGTTTGGGGTTGAAATGATGCTGGCCGATGCGCAATCATACGGCGCTGTCTTTAATTCTTTTCAGGAGATGGAGCCTAAGTATGTAGCCGAGTTCAGAAAGACAAGAGAATCGCCAGAGAAGGTGTGGTGCGTCGGCCCTGTTTCCCTTTGCAACGACCACAACCTCGACAAAGCAGAAAGAGGCAACAAAGCCTCAATCGACCCACACCAATGCATCAAATGGCTCGACGGGCAGCAACCAACATCCGTGGTCTATGTCTCTCTGGGAAGCACCTGCAATTTGGTGACGGCCCAACTCATAGAGCTGGGATTGGGATTGGAGGCGTCGAACAAGCCATTTATTTGGGTCATAAGGAAAGCAAACCTTACCGAAGAGCTGCTGAAATGGCTGGAGGAGTATGATTTGGAGGGGAAAACCAAAGGGAGAAGCCTCGTGATTCGTGGATGGGCTCCTCAAGTTCTCATACTCTCCCACCCTTCAATTGGGTGCTTTTTGACGCACTGCGGTTGGAATTCGAGCACCGAAGGGATTTCGGCGGGCGTGCCGATGATCACATGGCCGCTGTTTATGGATCAAGTGTTCAATTACAAGCTAATCGTAGAGGTTCTGAAGGTGGGTGTGGGTATGGGGGTGGAGACAGTTATGCACTGGGGGGAGGAGGAGGAGATAGGGGTGGTTGTGAAGAGAGAGAGAGTGAGAGAAGCCATAGAAATGGTGTTTGATGGAGAGGACAGAGAGGAGATGAGGCAGAGATCCAAGAAGCTTGCAGTAATGGCGAAGAGAGCTGTAGAAGAAGGGGGTTCGTCTCACAGGGATATCAAGCTGCTGATTGAAGATATTGTTGCTCATGGAGGAGGCATGAGATCTGATTAGTGTCACAATAACCTTTTCGTTACTTATTGATGTCATTTTCTTTACCACCGATCTGAGATCTCATAATCCGCCTCCTTTCTTTATGAAATGGATCTCTTTGTTGTTTTCCTATCAAACAACCTTCACATACTTTTGAGGGAGCTTTAAGGACCGATAATCCTTGCACCATGTCCTTCTCTTGAAGTATCTTCAGTCCTCCGTAACTTAGATGTCTATATCGACAATGTCATGTTCTTGCGGGATCTTCAGTAATAATATAGAAGCAGGATTGTTCCTCTGGTAGACATTGAACAAATAGAGTAAACGTTCTATTTGATGTCACTGAATCTTCTACAATTAACCTTCTGCCATGATGATTAATCTTACGTCCTCCTTTTTGTATAAGAATTGCAAGACCTTTTTCTTACCGCTATATGATGCTCAACAAATTGTCCTTTAAGTCTGGTACATAATATACGATGATTACTTACACAATCTCATTTACTTCAAACTTTACATTTCCTTTGCCCATCGTAGCCATGCTTGAGTTGTCAGTCAGCTTCACAGTTTGTCGACCTATCACTCCTCTTATCCTGTAAATGCTGCTACTTTTCAAGGTAAACAGACTCCGACACCAAAGGTTAAAAAAGAGATATCAAATTAATCACAACTCCCTAAAGATTAGGATCCTAAACTAAATCTTTTAACAGCTTGGTGACACATTTACCATGTCTGGTTCTAATACCATTTGTAACCGTGCTAGCTGTATTTTGACACACCACCCCATGTCTATCTCTGATATCATTTGTAATAGCCCAAATCTACTATCAGATACTGTCAGCTCTGGCCCGTTACGTATCCTTGTCAAAATCCACCACTAGCAGATATTGTCAGCTTTAGCCCGTTACATATTATCGTTAGGCCATGAATTTAAAACGTGTCTACTTGTGTCACGACCTGATTTTCGAGGTTTCGAAAATCAAACCGTGACCCAAAAGACGAAATCGAAAATAAACAAAAGGAAAAGAAAAGAAAAGAAAATAAGAGTAAAAGATAAGGATAAAAATATCATTGAATTAAAACAAAGGAGAGAAGTTCTTTTCGAATTATTACAAAAGAAATTACAAACTTAAAATAATACAAAAGACTTTAAAAGACCGACAAGAGATTGACGCTCCAGAACGACCCCCTCTGTAATTGCACAGCTCTCGAACGCTCCTCCACCTCGTACCTAAAAAAAAATAGAAAGGAATGAGTATAAAAATTATACTCAGTAAATCATCTACTTGTAGGCTCCCATCGCAACCTCAGCTTAATAGATTTTCACGGACTTCTCTTTGGCTCTAGAAAATCTAGTTTTGGTCTTAGCTCTTTAGGACTTGCCCCTTAGGACTTGTCTCTTGGGGCTTCTTTGGTTCTGAGTACTTTCATTTATACCCCAAAGTTCCTTTTATGCTAACTTGTGTTGGACTGGTGTCCTGCGAGTGACTACTTCAGCAAGAGTATGAGATTACCTAGTGTCTTGTCTAGGAAGTGAGCTGCAACCCTCTAGTCCCATGGTAATTCCCCTATATTTGAGAGGGCTACCTCTCCTATCCCATCCAGCTAAATGGTCAGTTACGACGTGGGTATCCCGTTCCCCATGCTAAACGGCTATCGAGCAGTCGAGTCCTGATCAGGAACCCACTGGTACCCCATAAAGCTATAACACCATCCACACACAAGTAGCCTAAGGGTACTCTAGAGGTGGCTCGTATGTCGAGGTGGTCAGTTAGACTACTAGGGGAAAGGTTAGGTCTA